TGTAACAGCGTTACGTTTGTTTTTTGCATTTTTTATTTGAACAAAAATGTTGTAGAGAAAATCTTTTTTACTGCCTGAAAGTCTATTCAATGCTCTACAAAAATAATTCTTGGAGCATTGCATTTGAAGAAATGATTTCGCAAGAAATTAGAGTTTTCGCAGTGGCACTGGAAAAAAGGGTCCTTTTATGTAACAGCGTTACGCCATGATAAAACATTTCTAGATGTCTGAGGCTTCAATCAAAAAAGGTCATTTTTATATGATAAATGAAGTTCGATAAGCTGCGTCGAATGACGTTTGAACGAACTTCCTAGCTCTTAAACTTTTCGAGAAAGTTGGAGAAGAGTATATCAAAAACGTAACAGCGTTACGTTTGGACAAGCCGATCTACAGAGTGTCTGGAAAGTAGCTTGATATTTTAAATTCTTTTTTTTCTCTTTAATAAGAATAGATATTGTGTTACTTTTTTTTTACTGTTTTGAAGCATATTTTATAAAGTTTTGTTTCACATAAGAAAGAATATTAATGAATTGACTATATAGGATCAAACGTAAATTTTATTTGAAGAATGCTTGAAAAATAACTTCTTATTTTTCATCATTTATTACTTTTATACAAAGAATATATGGTGTAATAATTTTTTATGGCTTTGAAATGCAATACTCTCACGGCTATTTTTTCAGACATTATCGCGTAAACCGATAATACACTTCAAAATAGAAAAATACTTATTAGAATATATGCTTTGTATAAAAGCAATAAATGATGAAAAATAAGAAGTTATTTTTCTAGCATTCTTCAAATGAAATTTGCGTTTGATCCTCCTACATAGTCAATTCATTAATATTCTTTCTTATGTGAAACAAAACTTTATAAAGCATGCTTTAAAACAGTAAAAAAAAAGTGACACAATATCTATTCTTATTAAAGAGAAAAAAAAGAATTTAAAATATGACGCTACTTTCCAGACACCCTGTATATTATTATCTAAAATTTCGTGAACTCAATTGCTATTATTAATAAGAAAGTACTTTGTTGAAAATCATCTTACGAGGGAACCACTTCAACTGACACGCGTTATCTAAGCTCATATTGGACCCACAAGAAAGTATCGATGAGACTAGCAAATATGTATCTTCAATGTTTGTTCAGCATAGCGTATTCAAAATGCACTCGAAACTTATCAAACATTTTTCATCTATGCTACTTTTATACAACGTCCAGTGGTCCTTTCTATGTGTTATTTTCTCCAGCAATTTGCTCAGTTCAGCAAACGAACGTGTAAAAACGTGTTAAGCATCTTGAACGAAAACGTAAAAATGTACGCTTTTCACAATTTTACTTTCTTTAAAATTTCTACGCGTTTCTTTCCATTGTTTATCTGACTGGGTGATACTATGAATTAGAGTAAGGCGGCTCCAGTTCGACTCTCAAAATATTACATGGAACCGAAATCATTCAATCATCATGTAGATGTGAAAGTTTTTGACACAAAAACAGATTTAGAAATTTTCGAATTTATCTAATAGTTTAAAAATTTCGATCTAATTAACGATTCTAAAGTGTTTTTTCCACGGTTTCAGTTTGATTCTTGATTTTATTTCTGTTAGAACCACTGAATTCTACTATGTATAGACTTTATGAAATAAATCTATAAATAATTTATTATTTACCGTACAAAGTAACATTTTTCATAGGTTAAATTGACATTCATATTGAATGAAACAGAATAAAAGATCTTATGAATTCATGAAAATTTGAAGAATTTGATTCTAAATGAAAGTCAATTTGCTTAGGAAATTAGATCAATTGAAGCTTTGTAAATTTTTAACTTTTGTTACAATATCTTCAATTTAATGCTCTTGGATTCTATATAAGGTATTCAAGATTTTAATAATCTTATTTCATTTACAGACATTTTTTTAACTAATTTTATCTTCTATAACCTTGAAACTGTTGTTCAATAATAAAATATTAACAGCAACAAGAATGAGTAAGAAAAACCAGTTCGAAATAAATTCGAAAATAGTAATTCTAACAAAATAAAGAGATATAAATTAATTTCGATGAATCTTTAATGAGTTATTATTCAATTTATATTTTTCAGCATCGTTTTCTTTCCTTCTAACGTGTTTACTTCATAGGAAAAAAAGT